TAGCCACTGTGTTTTCTCAAAAAAAATGTTTCAATGTTTCTTGTTTCCTCTACTTTAGTAACATCCTTGAAATGAAAAGAAACAAACCAACATTTTTCCAGGGCAGGTTACTGTGGTACTCTACAATTCTTTAGGTCTTTATCTGACTGTCAAGTAAGATATCTAAGTGTATAAATTACTGTCTGGGAATAAATAAAGCTACAAAAGACCCACAAACACTGTACTAGCTTTGAAAGGGCTTAGCAAAAAAGAAAAGAAAACAGTGGTTCCGCCGCCTGCCTTGCAAGCGGAAGGATCCGAGTTCAATCCCCGGTACAAAAAAAAAAAAAAAGAAAGAAAAGAAAAAGGCTTGAAAACTATCGTCTGTTTGAAGTTTTTTTAAACTGTTGAGGATTGTTTGGTAATCTGGGAAATGCTTTACGACTGTTTGTTTGTTTCAAGACAGAATTTCACTTAGCCCAGGTTGGCCTCCAACTCTCAGCGATCCTCCTACCTCAGCCTCCCGAGTGCTGGGATTACAGGCATGCACTACCACACCCAGCATTTATGACTTTTTAATAAAACTTTTTAACAAAAACATTAGGCCTTTTAATAAAAATCATATAGTGATTTTTAAATTGCATAACAATTTCCTGAATATGTTCGTGTTATCCTCAGAGTGACCATGTAATGTATGAAAAGAATAAGTATCTTTAATTTTATATGTGAGAGGGCAGGGTATTTAGCTCAGTGGTTCCACCGCCTGCCTTGCAAGCCCAAGGTCCTGAGTTTGATCCCCGGTACGAAAGAAAAAAGAAATTTCATATATGAGGCTGGGCATGACAGCACATACCTGTAGTCCCAGCACTTGGGAGGCTGAAGCAGGATTGCTGCGAATTTGAGGCTAGCCTGGACTACGTAGTGAGTTCAAGGCCAGCCTGAACTATGTAAGGAGACCCTGTCTCAACCCTGCCAAAAACAATTTTTTTTTATAGGAGAAAATAGCAGTTCTGATTCATTAGGTTATACATCCCAAGATTAGGAGCAGAGAATGACGAGTTCAGTTCAGAAGTCTGATTCCAAATACTGCTGTGCTGAGTAGATGGTCCTAGCAGTAGACATGGAAAAGAAGGAATAGAGAAGTTTATTGTGAGTGGGGACATCCGTGACAGAAAAGACACAGGAGCAGGATTAACAGACTGAACCTACAAAGAGGGTCCTGCTTAAATGAGTTCCCCAGTGGATGGAAATAGGTGGGTCTTGCCCGGTCATGGGCTGGGGACCACCCTGAGAAAAGATAAGATGAAAATCTGAGCTGATTTAGACACTAACAGCTAGGAACTGTCAATTACCACCCTACTTACAGTGCTGAGGACTGAGGACTTTGTTGAAAGAGGACTTTTTAATTTCCTTTCAGTACTCAGAATTGAACCCAGGACCTTTTCACTCTTTTCTCTCTCTCTCTCTTCCCTCCCCCCCACCCACACTAAATCATTCACTTGTCCAGGCTGGGCTCAAACTTGTAATCCCCCTGCCTCAGACTCCCAGAGTACTGAGAGGTATGTACCACCACACCTGGCTTTGTATGTGCCTTTTAGCCCAAGGTGTGCATTTCCCCAGGAGTAAAATGCAGTCCAACCCACCACTTACTTCTGTGCAAAGTAAGGAATCTGGCCTCTGTGACTGCAGCACTGCACTTGTTACCCTCGGTGAGTTCTGTGCACACCCTCTCTGCTCCCCTCATTCAGTAGCAATCCTGATGAGGGTCAGTGAACCCTGCCGAGATGATGACTGGAGAGCCCCACATGCCCAGGTGGAAGCAGCCCATCCATGGGAACTTTTCTGTGTCTCCTGGTGAGAATGCACTCAGCTTGGGGATCAGGAGCTCTCATCTTCAGGGTCTGACCCCGAGGGAGCCCCGGGCAGGGGAGTCACTAAGAGTGCATTGACTTCGGCCACTCCTGTGTGCTCCGCTTATGGCCAGGTCTTGTGTTCTTCCTGTTGGGAATTCTGTGTGGCTGGGGTCCAGCCGGCAGCTTCTACAGAAGGTGGCGTGTGGCACAGCCGAGGTCTGTGAAGGAGCTCTTCCCTTCCACAGTGGGAACCACCTCGTTGCAAGTCCGCAGACTGAACATTTTCTCATGGCTTCACGATGCCAGCTGAGCCCTGCAGATGGGAAGGCAAACCAGACCCAGAGGAAACATCTGTTCCTGTGAGGAAAACATCGGCTCTTGCAGGAGGAAAGGAAGGTGCCCTGTGTAGCAGTCCACTTGTGACTGAGGAGTGAACATCTTCTCAAGGACTAGTGCTGTGCTAGAGGCTCACCACTGTCATCTAATGCCAGCCACTGGAACCTTCGAAAGCCAGGAACTGCTAGATTGGCCTTGGTAATAGGAATCCATGTTCGTCGACCCCTGCTCAGCCTCCAGCTCTGCCCCTGAGGCCCTGTCTTCTCTCAGTTCTGATACCCATCATTGGGTCAAGTTATTTCATTCATTTGGGTGTTTGGGACCCATGCCATAGGGCTTTCTGATGGACATTAACATGTGACTAAAATACATTCACAAGCCAGGTACACTGGTACACACCTGTAATCTGCTTGGGAGGATGAGGCAGGAAGATCATAAATTCAAGGCCAACCTGGACAATTGAGCAAGATCCTATCTCAAATCAGGTGTGGTGGTGCACACCTGTGATCCCAGCACTTGGGAGGCTGAGGCA